CAGATCTATTAATACGCTTTCAAGTATTTAACAGATCTATTCAAGTATTTTACAGCAGAAAAGACTCGAGTCTAATGTGTACAGCTTATAAGTTTGTGGAGTTTCAGGGGTTATTTAATGTAAGTATGTATTGGGTCTACTAATGTACTGTTCTAAAATAATATCTCACTAATGTACTCTACTAAAATTTCCATTATAGGGCAACTGAGATGCTGTAGGTTGGTGAGCAGATTTTATTTCTGCTTGGATATGATCAATTAACAGGAGAGAAAAGCCCAAGAGAGTCATAGCAAAAACTCTGTCATGGTCGTATAAATGCTGAGTGTGGTTCTTTTGATTGCAATTGAATATGTTCAATTGTGATTTTGTCAATACCAGAAGAAGTAAAGGTTTGGTCTTTTGTGTTGGTGCTTTCCTGGGATGTTGAGAATGTGAAAATTCCATCCTAAAGTCATTTCATTTTGTGTTTTGATCTTACAGCAACATGACTCCTGTAAGAATAGTTTGTGCTAAACTTTATCAGTACAGGCAAGCAATTCTAGGGGTAGGATTAAATGAAACAAGGAAGCGGTTTGTCAAATTTCATTGGGTGCCACACATGCCCTTAGAAATACCGAGCAATAGGGCATCTTGCTATTCAATGGAAAGTCATTTTCTATATTTTAATTACCGTTATTCTGAGGAATTGCATTTTGTTTTTTTTTGTAGAATATAGGAGCTCACAGAATTAACTTCACTTATTTAAGGCAGGGAACAAATTAATCATTTTACTTCAGCAGCACTCGAGTTCTTATTTTCCTTTTAATGGTTAACTGATAGCTATGAATTTAGGTAGACGTGTTAGTCATTGATCGGCTAATCACAGGCCTGTGTACACTTTTAGGAAAGAGTTCTGTGTATATTGGACCTTACAGTGTTGGACTTTACATTGAAACAAGGGGAGACTTTAAAACAGTTGATGTTTTAATTGAATGTAAAATTAAATAACTAAATAAATCTGAATAACTGATGTTTGGGGGCTGCTAGTAAAGATTTGTTTTTATTACATTTTGTTAAAACTTATCTATTTAAAGGGCCTTGTACACTGGATGACCAGGGAGTGGGTTCTGTGGTTAATGCACACCAGTAGTAAAGCAAATCATGAGAAGAACACTGATTAT